CATTTGAAATTTAAATTTTTACAACATTGGATTTTCACTTTTAGCGATACTTTACAATACACTTTTACCAACTTTACAGCGGAAATCAAAAATCAACATTTAAGAAACTCATTATTGACATTGTGGTAGTTGTATATAGGTATTTAATATTTACTTGTTTAGAATATCATTTTTTAATAGAATCTAATAAGCAATGGTAAATCTTATAGTGAGTAATGTAATTTTACCTTTATTATTTTAATTAATATAGGTACTTACCTACCTATTTAACAAGAATGATCAAAAAATAATAACAAAAATGTACCTACCTAATATTTTTTTWAATTGTTATTGATATTATTTGCTATTGTTATATTCTAACACAAAATAACAATAATAATAACAAATTAAGACAAAATGTTAGCATTTTACTTACATTTAATGCGACGTTCTCTCATAAATTATATTTAGCAGCTTCTTCTTCTCTTTCTCTGGTCATACTAGTATAATGCTAGCTATGTATATGATTTAAAACTAAACAATTTCAGTTTGAAACCAGTATAATATCATCATGCATTTGAAGGTGATTTGTTGTCCACAGCCATCCAACTCCCACTTTTACATGTATACGGTATACAGTATACCTAGTCCTCAGGCATCGATTTATGTATGATATACAAATATTATTATATTATAATATATTAAGGTAATGTTACAATAACAATATTATTGTTTCAAATTATTGCTGTCTGGGAAAGTGGTATTGGTGGTGTAGGTACTTTATATAATTCTTAATTATCGTGTATTATAACCTAATAACTTATGTTCATTTTTYCGTACAGTATAGGTTTATGTTACATTCACTATAACAATATAAGACTAGGGCCATAAAAAAAAAAAAAAACAATTCGTAGAATTTAGTCGCTAATGTTATGTATATAAATTATAATATTATAATGTGAAGTTAAAAATTTAAAATCACGCTAAAACTAAATAATAATCAGAGAAATATTTATTTTGATGTATTCAATGAAAGTAAAATATTTACGAGCATGGAAGTTATCGCACGTTGATCAATGCATCAGGCAAAAAAAGGACAAAAATGTTACCATACTTCTTAGTATATTAATATTATTCAACATTTTTTTAGCTATTATAATTTTATTAAATTTTTAAAAGAACTGTTTGCAGTTGCATACATTTTAGTATTGATCTATTTATCCAACAATCCAAAATTTGTTTTACTTACAAAGTATAGGTATAGCAAAGTAAACAAGCATTTTATTTTCAAGCAACTATTACAGTCTACAAATATTGATTTTGAGGTAGGTACTTAATAGTAGACTTGCCTTTCAGTGATGTAAGKGGCATAAAGTAATAGGTGATAAGTAGTCATTCTAGCATGGCAAAAACTAGAAAAAAATAAGCCTTTCCTCCACAAAAAGAATTGTTTGTCACCGATACTCTCTACCTGCCTATTTATATATTCTATAAGTGAATTTAATATTTACATATTAATATTAGTGATATAAGAAGTTATGAAACACAGAGGTTACTTCATCAGTTGGAAAAGTAAACGTAAATTATGTACGTACCTTCTCAGACGTATAGGTAATATTTATTATGTAAACAGTAATTWATTTATTTTTAAAGCGTTTGAATTAAATTATGTCAGGTATATTTATTTAACCTCCAAATGCAATCAAAATAAATTACCCAGTACAATAATAATTCGTTATTATTTATTCACAGTATAATATAGATGATTTAATGTATGCCAGAAACAACAGCTCACATATCTAYATTCAATTTAATCCAGTACTATAAACACTTAAATTTTACATAAACATATTTATGTAAATTATTATTTATGTTTATATTATGCATTGATAATTAATRTTCAAAAGGTCTATAGTATAGTCTATTCAACAATTGGATTCAAATATGATTGATGATTATACTGAAACGTTTTACTAAATATACGCATATTCTCAGATGGAAGTTTTTTCAATTGACAGATTTGCGATATTATGTTGTTTCTTTAAGTATTATTTAACATTTAATACRTCCAGTCGTAATCGTAAAATGTTTACGAAGGTAAATTAGGCACAAAACAGGATGTTGGGATAATTATACCTCTTTTACTTTTAAATTGAGTGTACCCAAAATGAATGAATTTTTTTTGGCGTGATTGAGTAATTACCATCGCGTAAAATGCTACTAGAAGTACTGCAAAAGCCACGATTTCGTCTGTTAAAAAAGAAAAAGAGGGTACATATAGGCGTSCGCAGACTTGGTCCGCAGGGAGGGACCACATTAAAAAGGTCTGAACCAATTAACAAAGATTCTTGTACTAATGGCTACCTGCTTTCGATAAAATGAAAATAAAAAAAATGTTAGTACTTAAAAGTAGGTTAAAAAAAACAACACATATGTAAAATTGTGAAATAATAACAAATAAATTAAAAACACACGTTATTCTTATAGTATTTATAGTTAAAAGATTAAGCAATAAGAAATATTAGCACTTAAAAACTAGGTTAAGAAAACAATTAGCATAGACATTATTCGATTTTAAGATTAGTATATAAGGAATATTCGAGGACAACTAAAGGGTCAGTGGTGATGATCGTGTGACTCGATTATCACCACATTCCGCGATTATAATAAAGCGTCTCACAACATTCTTTGGTTGTTCTTATATTGAATACTTTCGAGTAATCAGAGTATACAACAGCATCTATTTATTTAATTSAATATGCAAATATAAAAATAATTTAGTATAGTATAGATATCAGATATCTATGTATTTATTAATGAAAAAGCTAGAGGCCGCAGGAGGGTATACCTACGTATTACGTATACCTGTATGTACATAGTATAGTGAATACCTATGAAATGTTTAAAGTACCTATAAGCTTTAGTTGTATTTTATTTCCTTTTATTATAATATGGTAATTATACCACGGCAACGCATTGACAAACGATCGATGACAATCTTAATTATTTTAAGTCGTAGTCATACATTTTGTAAATTGTTAAAATACAAACATATAGGGGCGTATTGAGTAATTTAATAACAGTAATGAGGGACGTCAATTGGAGTAAAATAATGGAGTAGCTCTGTAACAAGTATCTCGAATAATATATTAAATTCGTATGTGGTCTAATGAAGCCCGGGATCATTAGGTAAATAAAATAATAACGTAGCAATTGCTACCCTTCTCTATCCTGTGATGAAACCCATGACTCTATGATGGTAACTAATCCGGCGATACTCGTTTGCGCACAGTACACAATTTTTTGCAAACAATAGCACGTATTTGTAGTACCTATACCTAAGTTTTACGAAATTTAAATCATTTTTCAAAATCTATGTAAAACCATCGACCGATAACAATAACAACTAATATCCAGTTATAAATATAAAAAGTTAAGGTAGGTAATATAATATATTACGTTGGTACCTATCCGCCACATTTTTATGTATACCTAGATACCTATAATGGTCTAATAATATTTTTAATTAGTGATAATTAATTCTGGATTATTGTTTTTGTGAAATGATTTTCGGGAAAATATTTTTCAAATTTTGATTTTTGTGKAATGATATTTCGGACAAGTTGTCATTCAGGAAACGGATTCGGGAAAACGTCCGGGCGTCGTGTTTAATGATTATAATAACATATAATTAGATCGTAGATATTTTATAGTTTAAAATACATTTCTTTGGGTAAGCATGATTTTTTTGTATAATTTATTTTAACAATAAATAAGTTATAACAATTACTGTTAATCTAAATCAGATGACATCATACATCTGTATTTTGGATGTAAAATCAAAGTTTATTAAGTAAGTACTTATCTTTTTACATAGTTTTTAGATACTTATTTAAAGTTAAATTTTCAAATACGAGTACCTGYGACTATCTATTACACCATTATATTAACGATTTGTCCATATTATACACGATTAATGTTAATAATTAATATTATAACATTGAAATATCAGTGGTTTATTATAATGAGCTATATTTGATGATTTTATTATCAGTCATTGTTTACAATAATTAAGTTATAATAGAAGTAGATTCACTAGTTAATAGAGTTATAAGATATTTACATTTATTCGTAGAAATAAGCAGAAACATATAGATTTATTAATTCTGATATTGCAGGTGCGCTAGTAATTTGCACTAGACATATTATTAATATTATAGTCGCTTTTGTAAAAATTAAATAATTACCTATATAAATAAAAATATTTTAATATAATATTACAATTTAAAAATTTTACTTATATTAAAAAAATTAATTAATTTTGCATAAAGATTACTCACTTATTTGTTTAACATGTAATTTAACATATACATTTAAATTTTAAATATAATAGTTTATATAATTATAAAGATTAAAATACTATGGATAATTTATATTTTTTAAGTAGGTACATAATTAATTATTTATTATAAATTATTATTATTATTCAAATTGTACATAATATTTTTAAATAAAACTTAAGTTTAAAGTAAATTGCATTTTGTCGTTCTTAATTATTTAGTTTGATTAAAATATTTTTAATCATTTACGTTKATGTCATTTTCTTCATCAGGACTGGTAGAMCGAGATTTTGAGCATGTTAAATCCACAGAACCTACCATCAAAGATAGGTTTCCGTTCATGTCCGACCTAGAGTCTTGGTGATGAGCTGAACGTCTATTTGAAATGTCATTTTCTAAAAATGGATAATATAAAATAAATATWATAATATATGRTATGRTGTTAGGCTTAGGCAYATYTTATTTTATCGTCATTTTTTTAAAATGATAAACAGAGAAATTGTTAAATARGTTACGTATATGAAAAGTATATATCGACAAAGGTTGGTAAAAATCTAGTGGAATATTTCTTAAGATGTATGTAGATTTGAACAATTTAATAGCTAATAGTTATATTACATATAAAATAAAATAATGTTATACAGAGTATATAAGTAAATATCTATCACTATATACATTATAATGATTGTATAACATTGTTGTAAATAGATATTCATATTAAAAACTATTAATCATAGGTTAATTGGGTAGGTACATTATTAAGTATTTAAGTGTTATAAAGTGTGTTATATATATTGCAGTTGAACTACATAATTGAAATTAATTTTAAGTTAAACTAAAAATGCATTAGGAAAAATCAATTTAATTATTATGTTTTAATTGTAAAGTATTATTATATTACTTACTTTAAGATTTTTRTTTTGATAACAGAAAATTTACAAATTTTTTTATTGAATTAGAACTACCTAGTAAATTATTTCATCAAAAATCTTACCAGTAGAAGAATACGGGCAGAACAATTTGGTTGTAACTGTATTTGTCGGTGGTCCAACTAATGGTGGTCGTTCTGTTACTTGAAAACTAAAAGTGTGCGTGTTAATACATTTTCAAATTTTATATTCTCTGGTGATTTATAACCATACTTTTGAAGCATTCGGTAACTTCCCGGTACATGGGTGGGTGAAGAGACTACAGTTGATTGGGTTGGAGGCGTTGACGGAGATTCTTTATCGTCCGCCAAACGTGTTGTTCCATCTGGTGCTTGACGACCTGAGAATCAATTAAACTCATTGAAAAAATWTGTCTATGATTAAGTTTTTCAAAAATTGAATTACCCAATAAAAGTGATTGTGTGTTCAAACCCATGCAGCGAATTCTCCACGCGTCTTGAATTATTTGAAGGCGTGCGTGTTTGCGCCACTTAGCTCTACGGTTCTGAAACCATACCTATAATCAAAAATAATTAAATTGAATTAATTAATAAAAATAGATTTATCTTGAATCCAGGTGTGATATTTGCTCATGTAGCCTATATAGTCACTTTATATAGTCACCCATATTATAAAATATGWATTATAGAAATCATAGTAAAAATTCAAAAACGTTTTACCTACATTATTATTTATCAAACAAATAAATGTTAATGTATTATATTAAAAATACTCATGGTATAAAGTCATAGGTTGTAGAAGCTAAAATATGCCACACTAAATAAATAATCATACTATTTCCTTGAAAAAATATTTATTATTATTGGTTCATGTAAGAAAATAATAATAAACTTTCTATGTTAAAAAATTTAAAAATATTTTAATGAAAATGCGTTTTTTGAAGATGTTATAATTCTTGTCCCATTATATACTTACATGTTTCTCTTCCCTCAGGTTGAAAGGGATTCAAACGCTTACCCTTACCCCGTGCGCATGCTTATGGATGGTGGGGTAAATAAGTTGGATARAAGCAACATAGGTTTTTTTTTCAATGCATACAAACTTTTAAGTTAAGCTTATACATTTCTAAAAATGACTCAATATTTTTTAATAAAAATAAAAATTTGCCACTTATACTTTAATATTATTTAATGGTACGTAGTTTTTCAAAATTATTTATTTTAAAAATATTTAGTGTTATGTCAAATATTTTGAATAAATTAAATAAATGGACTTTATCATAGATGAATTACATCCTTAATATTTTGAACACCAGGTAATTTATGATTATTTTTGAATTTTTATGTGTATAGTGTACCTACTTATGAAGGTATATAATGTATGTATCTAAATCAAATAGTTAATAGTTTTAAAAAACAATTAACAACACTTTAAATAATTTTTAATGAAAAATGTGTTGTATATTATAATTACATGAAAAAATATATACTCTATGGTCTACATGTATACATTAAACTAAATATGTTATAAAAACGTGACGATTTGTAAGGAGAAGAAACAAAATTGTTTGAAATGATTAAATAATTAAACGATTGCTTTGAAATAACGCTGTACGGATCGTATTCGAGTAGATAGTACTTTGATAATATTACAAAAAAAAAAAAAAATGTTTAATATTGACCTGTACACGAGCTTCGGAAAGATTAATTCGTAGAGCTACTTCTTCTCTCAAAAACACGTCTGGATAATGAGTTTTCTGGAAAAGACTTTCGAGTTCTTGAAGCTGTTGTGGCGTAAACGTCGTACGGTTTCTCCTCTATTTACAATAACAATAATAATTTATTTCTTAATAAATTTCTTAATATGGTTGGTAAATGTACAACAGACTACTCGTAATTATTATTAGAAACGCAAAAAAAAAAAAGTAAATGATATGCGAACTTGCCTGTCTTCGTCTACCAAACATATACTCCGATAAAAGATCGCCGGGTAGCGGCGATAAGTAGGGTCCTCCAGCCATAGCGCACAACGACGGGGATGATTATGATTTCGAAATTTAACTGACAGTACAAACATCCCTCCAGAAATTACAAACCGACAAAACCACCCCATTGGATGCGGTCCTCAGCCAATGGCTGCGTTTGTTACGGTCGCGCCCCGTGTACCCCTCCTCAACGATAATTGCGTTGTAAGCACATATAATAACAGTAAAATACTTATTATTATATACATCTTATAAGTTGGATGACTACGAGTATTTTTCGCATAATTTCGTCTGGATGCACATGAATGCACTGCAATTTTCATAAATCATACGTATTAAATAAGACCTAACATACACAGTTCATAATAAACAAATGATGACGAGACATAATAATACCTAATGTATTATGTATTTAATATTATGCATACTTATGTATTAACTGTATTTTTGAAAGTGTAATACATTATTATGATAGTTTTAGATTAATTTCTAACGAAAAAAATGAATTTTAATGATTTAAAAATTATAATCAATAAAGTGTTTAGTGTTATAAACTATTTATATTCATTTTTTTATGTACAGATTGATAAAATTATTTTTTTACGTGAAAATTCATTTTAGAACAGCAGGTTTACAAACCTGTTAAATTACGGGGGGGGGGCAAATGTTGGCAAGTGTCCCCTGACAATTTTGAGAGGGTCAAAAGTATAATCCCCCCAGGTTATCCATTAATAGAAATATTTGAATTATCATAAATTAAGAATGAATGTAATATATTGTTTAGCATAATTTAAATTACTCAAATTATTTTATTGAAGTTTACATTTATTTTATGTTTCTATAGTAAATGTTATTGCAAATTTGCAATTATCGCATTAGTTAAATTAGCATAAAAAATAACATATTAATAATATTATCATTGCATGAAATATGAACACGATTTAATAATATTATCTTGAAATCGTGATTATGACTACAAGAACGGGAGGTGATGTTAAGATCAATAAGAAATTACAATAATCACAATTGATAATATTATTATTATTTTGTCTTTTTTATACTTGAATATCTAATTCCATTTCCATATTACATTGTGCTAAGGTTTTACCCCCTTTGATTTTTTCCGAATTACGCCACTGACTGCAGGTGAGAAGATTCATAAATCGGATATTACCAAAACTAAAAATAAATGTTTATAGACTGATCTCAAAACGTTAAGATTGTCAATTTTGCAGTTTCTATCTTAAACTAGGAATGTATTTAAAAATGAGTGTAGAAAGTGTATAACTTTAAATATAGTCAAATCAAAATGTCTATATTAATWAAGTCACAAGCTCACGCATTGAACATTTTTACCTCGTTTCCTGAAAGTAGCGTTTAAAGAATCAATGTTCAAAAAAATTTGGAACATTTTTCGACAGTTTTAATCCGATACGATAGAATTTGTTTCAGTTAAATACAAACTTTAATTATTTGTTGTTATTCAATATATATCATTTCACAAAAAAAAAAAAAAACCATTTGCTTAGAATCGTTCAAAGATGATTGAAATGTTATACTCTACATGGGGAATTAAAATTATGTATAGCATTCTATAGGCTTAATTTATGCTTAAATAGTATATTGAAGTATAGGGTAAGTTTAGTGTGTATGTGTATAAAGGTAATATTAAAAATATAGTTTGGATAATTACGAAATACACAAAGTAACAAAAACATACAGCGGCTATCAAGCTAAAGGCTAAAGGCTATTTCCYCAAGRCAATCTTATTTTAAATTGCTTAAAAAATAAAATGATAAATTAAATAGTGGGCTAATCTAATTAAAATAAAACTTATTGGAATTAAACYTTTATAAAAGCTACATTACTTTGCGCTGTGCAGCTACCTATATATTATATTAGCTACAACTACTGTTGTTTTATGCATCTACATGCTGTAATATAATTTGAATAGATATGTATATAATRCATATTATTGTGTATACATCACGCTCAACTGTTCAAGTGACCAATTGATTTATTTTTGTATACCCAACGCTATTATTATGTTGAGGGTTTTCAGCGCTGCACAGTGCGCATATACGCATTATCCGCCTCTAGTAAAAAGAGATGAGTAAATGAAATAAAGGCGTGTCTTTTGAAAATKTCCACAATGGTCGAAGGGTTGTGGGGTTCTRGTTCTGTTGTCCGAATTTAATAAAATTCAAATAAGGGTGACGCGAAGGAGGGACAGAAACAAAATGTTCAACAAGTAATAATTACATGTTCCATGATTTTAATCAATCCGTTTTCATAATTTGCTCCGTTCTTTAATTCGTATTGCAGTTTTAAATCTGTTGAGGGTGAAGTGGATATCACGTGGAGTTCTTTATTGTAAGTAATATTCATAACAAAACAACTCGATTGACAAAAGGCAATGGACATCTGTTGTGCTATTACGATAGTCATCGACTGACAAAATGTTTTTTGSTATGCTATACAACTATTGTGAACGATTATATACGCATACGTACTTCAATAAAATAAACATACTTCTATTAACTATATCATTGAGCTGTTGAAATCGTTAAGTTACGTTTAAACACTATTAAATATACATTAAATGGGTATTTGTTTTAATATAATAATTAATAATATTATTATAGTTCTACACTTTGACATGTTATTATTTAAAGTTATGGCATGTGTCATGTGGGTACTCGTATGATTTTGTTTGAATAATTTATAATACATTTCCAACTATTAAAAAAATATGCTGCCGTGGAATATTTTAATGGATCTCCAATACCATAATAAAACTGGCTAATTTATCATAAAAGATCTAGAAATCTATWTTCTATAGATAGATAAAAAAATCTGTTAAATTCATTCATTACTATATAATATGATTTATGATTTTTTATAATGTTAATTTTTAATTATGCATRACTGATACGAAAATTCAAATTAAATGAAAAGAAAAGTAAACCCCATTAATTCAAATTAATTTGTTTAATGTACGCCGTCGAAAGGTTTTTAACGAATTATATTCTTTGTTAAGTTTATGATTAATTTTTCAATAACATTTCATTTATACCTGAATAATGTCTACAATTTCTATATAAATACAGGAGTTAAATAAATTATTTGTAAACAAATGAGTATGATTTTCCGAATAGGTGCAGGCATAAAAGAAAATTATCATCAAAAAGGATTTGAGTTAACATGATTAGATATTTTTCAATAGATATTACAAGGGCCCTTAAAAATGTGATTATAATACGTCTACCACTAAATCCCCTTCTATAAAGAGTTCTTTTATGTGTACCTATGTTAATAATATTATTTATAACTAATGTATAAAAAATATTAAACGCAAAAAAATGATTAAAATTGTGTAATCTGCACATTTACTTACTATTTAGTTATGAGTTCTTTATTCTGTGAAATAACATTTTTATTTTTTCTCATAATTATTTATRACTACCCTATTGGAAAAAAAAACAAAAGTAAAATTCTAAATTACCTACCTTTTTTATAATTAATTCGTGATTAATTTTATGAAAACTTATTAGAATATTATACATAGGTAGTATTATTTTTTCACTTAATAATTAATTAGACGTATCATTGTATGATTAATGATATTTAAAAAAGTCACTCTGCTGTACAGTAGGTTACAAGTGGGTTACTGTAATGGATGGAATTAAATTTGAATCCAATGATATTATATCATTGTATACGAAAAACGATTCTGAGCTGAAACGGTTTATCTGTCTAGGATATATTATTAAAAATTTTCAAATCTTAGATTTAAAAAAAAAATCCTTATGAATTTTCTAGCTTTAAAATAATTTGTGAATTTTCGTGATTTTTACGTATGTTGTCAAAATTAAAATTTGAATGCTTGTAAAAAAAAATTGTGACTATGTATTTCTTTTATTTTTCAACTGCTATTGTAGAAATATTTTAGGAGCCTTGTATTAAATTTTCAAGATTTTCTGCCCAAAAAATAAATTTTTACCAATATTCATTTTTTTACAACTAATAATGATCGAAAATTGCATATGCCTATGAATAGTTCAACTTAATTCGAACATTTTTGAAAATTGCATGGTGGATAGAATATATTTATATAAACATTTGGTGAAAATTTCATCTATGGTCATTTGTTTTAAAGTTACATCAAAAACCAAAATCGATTTTGTCGAAAACGTTTTTCCTTAGTTTTTAGTTTGTTTATTCCGATTATTTAGAAAAATATTAAAATTTTTTACTTTTGACCCCCCCCCCAAAGTACCAAGTACCAATTAGATTCACTTTCTGATCGAACTGAAGTCAAAAATCGAAGCACTTTTACTGTCCCAAAACGTGATGAAACACAAAAAAATAATTAAATATAAACAAATAAAAATAAAAACACACATCATGGTAAAATCAATACATTCATCGCTCCGCTCAGAATCTAATATTATTCATCTGCAAAAGTTTATAAATATTTTGATTTGATTTTACTGACCATAAATCATTCTAAACATTTATGGTTATCTAAAAATTATTGTATAGATTTTATTAAGAATGTTGAAATCTTAAATAAATATGTAATAATAATAATAATAGTAATAATGATTCGTTAAATTTTATTAAAGTATATTTACGCTTTAGATTTTTTAACTTAACAGTTTGTAATTTTTGTTGTCGTCGTCGTTACTCTGGAAGTCTGAAATCAATGTATTATTATGTATTGTACTTCATATTTTATTATTGCTCACTAACCACCATTACTTTCTAAATTCTTTTCATGTTTTGAATTGTTCTCAAACTAACAATATAAATCAATCATCCTTTCAGTCGTTTTGAAGATTAAAAAATATCGTTTTAATCAATACGATGCACTTACATTTATCACATACCCATAAAGTATAAATAATTTTGTTATCACCCTTTTTATAACTTCTTTTTTAAATCGATTGAGCTATACGCTGCGCTCGACTTTACCGCGTGCACCACCAGGTCCTATACTATAATATATTTTTAGTTTGTTTAACCTTTTATCATATT